AAAAAATGACAGTGGAATGCATTACAATTCTTATTACCTATATATACCACAATTTTTCATATCTCTTTATATAAAGTATGTTGACTCCCAATTCATGTCTTCATACATGTAATTTGGATAATGATGTCTGAGATTATTTTTTTTATCCTCAGGAAGAAAATCTTACCTTTGTAAAGATGCCAAATGTCCTTGCAAATACATTTCTTCAGTTTCTGGGTATAGTGGTCTATAAAGATCAATTAGGTCACCCTGATTGATGGTTAAGTTGAAATGTTCTATAGTGTTACTGATTCACTGATCTAGTTGTTTGGGTCATAAATGAAAGAAGGGTGTTAAACTGCCCAACCACAGGACTCAAAATCTCTCCCTGAAACAATACAAAATAAGTTAACTTCATCTTGGCTGAGAATGTAGCTCAGTGATAGAATGCTTGCCTAGCATGTAGGAGGCCCTGGTTAGAACCTTAGTACCACCAAAAAAAAATTTAAGATGAAATTTATACAATACAATATAACTCTATTACAAAACGTTTAGCAAACCTGTACCCTTTTTTATATTGATTACCTCAGGTATTTTGTCATATAGATGGAAAACTGACTAACATAGGTAGATAGGTGATAAATATTAAGATGTTATATCAAGTTTGTTTACTGTTATGCAAAACCTGTATATTCCTACATTTTGTGTGTGTTTAGTTGATCTTGATTTCTGAGTAAGATCTGCTCAAATCTCCCTTAATGTTTATTAACTGGGTGATTTATCTTCATGTCTTGGCTCATTCCTGCTCTGGATCCTTTGAAGCTATGATGTCATATGCAGCTGCTTCTCTGCATATTCCAGTTGCACCCATCATCCAAGGGCTGGCTGAAATACCACTTCCTCTGTGGGCTCAAGAGCACAGAGCGAAACCTAAACCCGTCCTTCTGGACACCCTTTCTTCACTTACCTCTTTATGGATTGGCCTCATTCTCTCTTTAAGCTGAGAAGGGAGCCCTTAAGAAAAAATGTGATATCTTAGTGGAAACCTCTCCCTACAATTCCAGGCCCTGTTTAATGAAGGGTAGATAACAGAAAGAGCATTTACTTCCCAAATATCTTATTGCCATACCTACATCTATTTGGTGCTGATCCCTTTATTGTGAATTCAGTCTTCCCATTGTAAAATTAAAACAATGCTTCTAGAGCAAAGTAAATCTCTGTAGCAAAGAGGCTCCATGAATGTGCCATATTGTGAGCACAGTGCCCAAGTTCACTGTAAGAGCAACGATGTGCTTGTTGCATCCTGTCTTGATTGTTCCCCCATGAAGAACTGGTGCAGCTGTGGAACAGAGTCCCTTTCACAGCCTTCTGGACTGAAATACTTAGAAAAAAAAAAAAAACACATGCAGCGTAGATGCTTAAGCTGAAAGAAAAGCTTTCTCTCCATTTGGATCCATCAACATTTACTAATGTTTGATTTTACTAATGTTTGCAAAACCACAGAGGGGTTGGTGGGTGGAGGGGGGGTTGGGAGAGGATTGGTGTGGAAATGGGCCCAAAGCTCAATCCAACACAATCCTAGCTTGAATGCATTTAAGTTACAAATGTGCATGAAGCTTCCTTGCAGGGGGCTGGCTCAGGGTGGGGTTCAGCATATTTTGGTGGATTTTATTCCAGAATAGGACTAGGGGTATAGCTTGGTGGTAGAGCACTTGCCTAGCAGGCATGAGGCCCTGGGTTCAATCCCTAGCACCACAAAAATAAGTAAATAAATGTGTTAGCTTTGCACCAGTGTCACTGTGACCAAAATACCCGAAAAACAACAAAAAAAATTAGAGGAAGAAAAATTTATTGGGGGCTCACAGTTTCAGAGTTCTCAGACCATAAATGGATGACTCCAGTGCTCCAGACCCATGTGAGGCAGAACATCATGGTGGAAGGGTATAGCAGAGAAAAGTTGCTCAGCTCATGGCAGCTAAGAAGCAGAGAGAGGCAAGTGGGGAAGAAGCCACAGGGAAGATGAACCCCTTTAGGGCACCCCATCTCCTCTAACCACATCCCATCTGCCTAAAGTTACCACTCAGTCCCTTCAAATTAGGATGGACTTATTAGGTCACAGTTCTCACAATCCAATCATTTAACCTCCAAACATTCCTCCATTAACACAGGAGGTTTGAGGGAAATACCTCATACCCAAACTACAAGAAATAAATCAGAAATAGTTTATAATGGATATATGTTTCACTCATTGGGAGACCCAAAGGAATGTCCCAGGCAGCCTGGGGTTGACAGCACCACATGTCAGGTGCACAATCATGTTAGTGTGTTGAGGAAGATTGCCTTCGGTCAAGGGAGGAACAAGGACCAGGGCCCTCTTCTTGTCCTTGATTTTGTATTTCATGCCCTATCATAGACAAGGAAGAGAAAATCAAAATTAGAAAACCTAATTGTGGACAAGTATGACTTGTCTCAGGTGCACATGATCTGCCTGGCAGCTCCTTACCATGTTCCTGACACCCACAGCCCCAAAGTCCCAAGGATCAGCTCTGTACGTGAGCATAGTTTGAGAGAGAGCTCTCAGATAAAGCAACTACTGAGAATTCCAACAGAAAGAGTGTGTGACCTGAAAGAGAAGAGCAAGAAGGGCCAGTTCCCAAAATCATTCAGGCCACCTCACCAATCCACACTAAGACCTGATGCTGAAGCAGCCCAGTCCCCTGACCTCCCTAATGCAGGATCCCTTCAGGGGGATCAGGAGGGTCATCCACATAGCATACTTGGTGGATACTTGGTGCCAGGGACATCAGAGTCACCAAGACTGGCCTTTTTTTGGTCTTTTCTTCCATCTTCCTGGACAGTTCCTTGATTAACACTGGAAACCTCCAGAAGACTTCTTGCTCTCTATGTTCATATCCAGATTTAGTATGTTTTTCTTTAGTAAATGTTTCTTTGTTTTCCATGTAGCCTCAGGACAATTTTCAGAGACTTCAAATGTTTGTTTGTTTGTTGTTTCTGATTTGCACCAATTATGGTTGTTGGTTCGTGAAGCTTCTCACTTCTTTTTGGAAGATATGTTTCAATATTAGTTTATGATCTATAGTTTTACTTCCTTTATACTGGAAGAAAACTCAGGGTCTCTTAAAGTCCTGCTAACCCACTGGGCCTAGTCATAAAACTTCATACAATTTTATCAATTGAAAAATTAAAAATCAATTTAATCAATCACTGCCTCCCCATGATGAACAAGGACATAGAGAGGAGTGGTCACTCTGGGAGAACATCACTGACCATGTCCTCAGACAGGACCTCTGTTTGGACTTGAAGCTTGTTTCAGATCATGCTGGGACTCCAGAAGCAGGCCAGCAAGACATGCCTTTTCCTTCTCCATTCTGCACAATTACCCTTTAAGTGTGATACTGAGTCCTTGCTATCCCATCCACAATGCAGCTGCTCAGCCCACAAGCTGCCCAGTGTCCCCCAGGATATCCCCCCAGGTGCCATAAGTGACTGCCAGAACTTGCAAGACTTGGGCCTGTCTGTTCTGGAGATCTCCCCTCTAGCCACGTGACTTCTGCAAACCGTTTCACAAGCCATTCCCTGGTCAGCCTCAAAAGGACAGAGTCAGGCTGCTACCACAGGGATCTCAGCAACAGGACTTACAGTCCCTCCAGAAGACATCCAGGCCAACGAGAAGGTCTGCCTCCCTCTGGCAGCTGCCCTGTACTCCTGATTTGGTTTGCCAAGTCGTCAGGGGTGAGGTGGCCAGAGGAAAGTCTCACCTTCCATTGACAGTCCTTTCCAACCCCCGAAAGTACCTTTCCCAAGTCCACTGCAAAGATCTGGTGGCTGATTTTTCTCTCCCACCACCTCTCAGAGTTTGCATTTCAATTTCATGCATAGAGCTTCATTTGGGAAGATGTGTTTTAATATTAGTTTATATTCTATATTTTTATTTCCTTGATAATGGAAAAAATTCCAGGGTCTCTTATAGTTCTGCCAACCCACTGGGCTTAGTCATCAAATTTCATACAGCTGGGCATGGTGGCACACACCTGCAATCCCAGCAGCTCAGGAGGCTGAGGCAGGAGGATAGTGAGTTCAAAGCCAGTCTCAGCAAAAGCAAGGTGCTAAGCAACTCAGTGAGATCCTGTCTCTAAATAAAATACATAAAAGGGTTGGGGATATGGCTCAAGGGTCGAGTGCCCTTGAGTTCAATCCCAGTACAAAAAAAAAAACTTCTTACAATTCTATCAATTGAAAAATTCAAAATTTATTTAATCAATCACTGCCCTCCCACTATGAGTAAGGTTATAAGGAGGAGTGGTCACCCTGGGAGAATGTTAGTGACCATGTCCTTAGACAGGACCTCTGTATGGACTTGAAGTCTGAACCAATTTGCAGAAAGGTTCTGAAATTAAAATGGGGCTGAAGAGGGGCAAACTACACAACAGCTTCACAAAAGAAGTCAGCCTTCAGTGCCCTGAATAATGTACCTTTGCAAAGACTTCATCCCCTAACCACCCCTTCTCCCCTTTCTAGCTCCCTCCTTATCTATGCTTTCATTCCCAAATCTGCTCACACAGCCCAGGCTCCAACCATGCCAAGTTCTTGTATGTCACTGGGCTTTCACTCGTGATGCTTTCAAAGGGGGAAACTACTCATTCTTAAAGACCCTCTTCCAAAATCTCCGGGAACCTTCTCCCAAATCCCCAGATGGACCCCACTTTCTGTGCACACTGCATTCAGGGCTGGCGTATCTGCCTCCCCAACAAGTGAAGGGACTCTTGGGGGCCTGACTGTGCCTCATAGGTCTTGGTATTCCCCAAGGCTCTAAACACAGCAGTGCAAAAACCTCGGCTGACTGAAGTTATTAAAGACACACCCAACCATAAAAAAAAAAAAAAAAAAAAACTTTCAGACAAGACCTCAGAGGTTTCAAAGATTTTAGAGATTTTGGATGTCAGTCCCAAGAAAGCCACTAACTTTTTAAATACCCTGAAATAAAGTCAGAAATTCCAGACTTAGAGAGACTCTTTACTCAAAAATAGCAGACAGCAGCAGACAGAGAACATTAGCATGTAGACTTCCCTCTCAGGGTTCCTTACTCTTCAGGGAGCCCCATGGGAAGAAAGCCCACCCCAGCCCCAGCATAGAAGGAAGGCCCTGTCCTCACAGCCCCACTCTACCCACACCAGCTTCAGAATCAGGAAGATTTGCAGATTGCACGTGGCTCCTGGGGATCCCCAGTCTCTCTCACTCCTCAGTCTTTCTAGCAGTGGATCTATCTGGGCTCCCCACCAGGAGGACTCAGGGTTCCACAGCACATAACATTTGCCAAATGCTCTCACCTACCCTTTCTACATGGGTGTGGTCAGGGGCCAGGGTTGGGCAGGAGATGGGGTCAGGGTCACAGCTGAAGAGGAGTTAGGTCCAGGGCTGGGGCTGACATAGGGAGAGAGTCTGAGAGGAAATGGCTAGAGACAAGGTGGCCTAGCACAGGGGAGTGAAGGGTTCAGCAGAGGATGATTTCCATGCCCAGCACACAAGTCCTGGCTTTGTCACTGTCTTTCACTGGCCCAGGGAAGAGTGAAGAGCTTGAGAGGGCAGCCTGAGTCCCAGTCAGGCAACAGGCCAGTCACCAGGGACTATCAATCTGAATGGAGTGAGATGCAGCCATAGCAGACCAGACAGTAATGACATCCATCCACCAGCTCTCGCAGCCCCAGGAACATTCTTCCAGCTTGTCTGACATGGTCTTCTGTCTAATGGGCTCTCACAGGAGCTGGTCAGTGCGTTTGCTGCGCCACACCACCAGGCCAGCCATGGCCACAGTCAACAGGACAGGCACCACGATCAGTGGGATGAGCACCTCATCTGGGGGGTCTTCCCAGTGGGTCCTGTCCACTGTGCAGTTGGAAAAGAACTGCCGGTGGATGCCAGTGATGAAGCCCTGGGCCAGTGGATTGGGCCAGTAACAGCCTACAACATTAGTCTCCACCTCGGTGCAGTTGGTGAAACTCTCGTAGTACCTGCAAAGGCAGAAAGTGAGATCACAATGCTCCCCAGGGCCCCTCATGCCTGCCCCTGACCCCAGGCCAACAGGACAGGTGGGAAATGTTCCAGGCCCAGTCCTACTTGGACACCAACTCAAAGTGTGGCCTTGGAAGCCACTTCCATACTCCCAACTACATGGGTCATCTATATCTATGCCCTTCTGTCTGTGTCTCCTGCCCCCTTGAGGACTTGAGCTCCTAGAACCCAAAGTTTGGGCCCAGCCCCCAAAACCCAGCACCACCCTAGTCTGCCCAGAGGACAAGCCAAGTGCTACTTTTCCAGGGCCAAAAGATACCTGGGCCACAGCCACATGGACCTGCAAGGCCCTCATCATCCAGGGACACCCTAGGATCCAAAAGTAGGGTCTGTCTGAGGCCAGGGCCAATAGCCTTCTAACCAAGTCAACCTGCTCTCATATACCAAGTGGCAACTGGGAGTATCAGACCTGTGAGCCCCACCCACCTCTGTCTCCTGCTGGGAAGCTGCCTCTCTCTGCCCCACCTGGCAGGAAACATGCATCTCAAGGGGGTTCCCTGTTCATTTGATCAAACATGGTGTTATGCTTTAAATGTGAGGTATACCCCAAAAAAAGCTCACATGTGAGACAATGCAAGAGGGTTCAGAGGGGAAATAATTGGGTTGTGAGAGCCTTAACCCAATCAGTGAATTAATCACCTGATGGGATTACTTGAGTGAGAACTGAAGGGGGTAGGGTATGGCTGGAGGAAGTGGGGCACTAGAGGGATATGCCTTTGGGGTATGTATTTGTATCTGGCCAGGGGAGTCTCTCTGCTTTCTGATTAACATGTGAGCTGCTTCCCTCTGCCACACTCTTCTACTGTGATGTTCAGCCTCACCTGGAGCCCCAAGGAATGGAGCCGGACTTCTATGGACTGAGACCTCAAATAAACTTTTCTTCCTCTACAATCGTTCTGACCAGGTCTTTTAGTCACAGCAACGAAAAAGCTGACTAAAATACATGGGAATGGCTCTCAGCAAACCACCCATGATGAACCTTGCCTGTCCAGTAGGCAGGTTCTAGTCAGTTCTTGAGGTTGACTAAGGACCATGGCTAACTGAACCTAGAGTTCAGCCTGACGTATATAAGGATTTTCCAATAGCCACCTGACCTGGAATTTGGTAAGCAGCCTCTGAAGGTGGTGACCATCCTGCTGTTAGGATCTTCAGGGCTGACAATGGCAGCCATCCATTCAAGATGCTCTGGAGGAAGCTGGGTGGACACCTGCCAAGAGCCGGCAGCTCCCACACAGAGCAGCACTTTCCCACGCCTGTGCTGCAGATGCATGACAGACACAGGAGAAGGAGGGTCCTGGCTCAACTTTCCCAAGGGGTCAGGCAACAGGCCCACCTCCTCCTTTCTGTACTGTTCCAAGAGGGAGTGGCTGACCTGTCCCATCAACAGGAAGGGGCCTCTTCCTGCAAGGAGCTTCCTGCACAGAACAACATCCGAGTCTGCATCTCACAAAGGCTCTCCTGAGCTACTCTTTCTTAGGCAGTGTGGAGAAACCTGGGTTGAGTCACCCAACCAGACTCCTGACTGATTCCACCAGGCTCCTGACTCATCCCAGGCTGGGTTACAGCACCAAGGCTGAAACGCAAGCCATACACTTGTGCCTTCCTAGGTAACCCTCTGGAGCCTCAGACATAATGCAGCCCCTGGATGTGCCCAGGCTCTAGGAGCACCTAAACAGCCAGGTCCATGGGCAAATCCTTTGACCCCCAGAAGTTCCCAGTTTCCACTGCCCACCCACTCTGCTCCACCAGGTGATCTGGGACAGGAAAATCATCTAACACTACTCTGAAAAATCCTTTCTCTCGAAAGTGCCTGGCATCTTGATGTGATGAGAACAACATTCTGTAACTCTCAGGACTCCAGATCTGTCCATGGAACTGCTGCCCAGAAATACTGCCAACGACAACTGCCCACAAACCTATGCGGCTAAGCCAGACAGAAAGACCTTGGGAGCATCTGCGAACCAGGCCTGTGGGTGGGCAGGGCCCTGGGCAGCTAGTGGACGGAGTATGTAGGTGGGTTTGTGGGTGAGCTGTGGGTGGGGCAAAGGGCAGAGCCATGGGAGGGACTGGGGCCAGGGCATGGTGTGGGTGGGGCCATGGGCAGTGTGGGTCAGGGTACCGGACCTCTCAGGGCACTCACACTATGAACTCAGACAGGTTGCACCACTTCCAGACGTCCACCTTTTGCATCATGTCTGCGAAGGCCTTCCCACACAGAGGCAGCCGTTCCAGCATCCGGGTCTCATTGCAGCCGCACACTCGGGCACACCCACCTGGGAAGAGGACAGCATGAGAATTCTACAGGCTAACATGAGGGGTGCCCCAGGGACTCTGGCAAGGACAACCTCTCGCAGCACCTCCTGATGTCCCCTCATAGGCAAGCAACTCTTCTCTCTGCCCTGACCTCCCCTCTCCCAAAAAGGAGACCCACCCAGGAGGCAAGTCTGCCCCTTCATCACTGCAATGATGCAGGGAGCAAGCAGCAGTGAGAATCCTCCCGAGGTGAGGAGGGGTCCTAGGCACATCAGTAATGGCCAGGAGGCTCCAGCTCCAACCCAGGGGTGGTGGGTGGTGGTTGCAACAGTTCTGAGAAGGGATCTGAGATGTGGGGACCACCCCATGGCCTATAGAAGGAGCAGAGTTCTGAGCTGGTAAGGACCACCCAGCCCTATACAAGCCCCACTCTGATTTAAGGAGACCTGAGTCTGAGGCAGTCCTTGCCCCAGGATTTTCCAGTTGGCCTTCCCAGCATCTTCCCACAAAACATCTCATCCCCTCCAACCTTGCAAATTCACCCCACACACTTTCCCCTAAGGAACATCCTCCCTTCCACTACGCAGGGACTTCCTATCCCCGAGGACCCATCCCACATCATGGTCATCCCATTTCCTGGTGAAGGACCTACCAGCTCCTAAACTTCCTTCACCTTCACCCAACCCTTGCTTTGCACATTATCATATAATCAAAGGAGAGTCCGTGTGTATGTGCCCTGGAGTGTGTGTGTGTGTGTGTGGGGGGGGGGGGGGGCCTGCTGTCTGTGTCCTGGCAACCAGTGTTTGGTTATAGGAGAGACGGTGGAAGGGAGCAGGAAAGAGACTCCAGACTGGAATGGGATAGATCTACCTCACACAGCCTCACTGGTTAGGAGCTCTACCTCAGTTTCCCCATCTCTAAAGAGGGAAACAGGACCATGAGACTCTTGAGTTTGCTAAATTAAGTCCTGTGCCCACAGAAGACCCATCTTTATGAAGCCTTTGTTACTGGTGTTCTGTAAATTTCTCACTGCTTTCCCCTCCTTTAGCAAAAACCTGTCAGGGGAATGAATGAATGTTACTTTCCCAGAGGGCAAATGTGTCAAGATCCTGTATTCTCTCTTTTGCAGCTCAACTGGGCACCAAAAAGGTGTTTGATAAATCACCTTGATATGGAAATGGGGGATACAGACCAAAGCATATTCTGTACAGCAACCTACTCCATCAGACCACAGTACCCCAGCCACCACAAAAGAGGCCACAGCCCTCTCCATTTTCATGCCAGGGAAGGTTCTGGGGCCCCCTAAGTTCTAGTACAAAGGCTTGGGACCACAGATAGGGTTGAGGTGTTGGGCTCACAGACTTGAGGGAACTGGAGTGCTCACCTCACCTCCACCCACAAGAGGAAGATTGCACAGGGGTCATCATGAGTGAAATAGAACAGGCAGACAGGTACCAGTGGATATACCAGAGGGCCTGTGTGGGAATGCCCTTTCTGTCCATGGGAGCTTCCCTAACACCCACCACATCCCAAGACCCCAGGGAACCACAAGGTGGGGCAGGAGGGTATGCACACAGACCTGGCTCAGCTGTGGGCCCCTGCCACCTGCAGGCAGACAGTGGGACAGAGACTGGCTGCATCCCCCAGCACAGCCTATTGGCTTAGGGCTCAGCATCCTCTCTCTTCCAGAACACACAGCATCTTGGCCCTCTATGTTTTCTTGCATCTAAATGCCCATCATCCCCATGTTCACCTGTCCCACCAGCACATCTGCAGGCTCAGCTCATGTAACAGCCCACGACATCCCTACACCCCTTCTCTCCAGAAGGAAGGCCACCCTGCAACCCCTCACCTCACCCTGACCTCACACTCCTCCAGGAGCTGGATTTTACTGTTGTCGTGGCTCTGCCTCATGTGTCTGTGTCTATGTGTCTGGATGTATCTCTGTGTATCTGTGTGTCTATATGTTTGGGTATGTGAGTATGTCTATGTCTGTATGTCTGTATCACTGCGTGTCTGTGTGTCTGTGTGTGCATCTGTGTTCCATGTGTTCTGCATATCTGTGTGTCTATATGTATCTAAGTCTGTGTATTTTTGTGTATGTATGTGTCCATGTGCCTGTATGCATGTCTATCATCTGTGTTTGTGTGTCTGTGTGTCTTTGTGTTTGTGTGTTTGTGTGTCTGTGTCTATGTGTTTATGTGTTTGTGTGTCTGATTGTCTATGTGTCTGTGTGTTTGTCTGTATGTCTAGTTTGTGAATCTGTCTGTATCTATGTGTCTGTATGTTTGTATGTCCGTGTCTACATATCTGTGTGTTTGTGTATCTGTGTATGTCTGTGTGCCTGGTTTGTGAGTCTGTGTGTATCTGTGTGTCTGTATGTTTATGTCTACATATCTGTGTGTTTGTGTCTGTGTGTCTATGTGTGTCTATGTATCTGTGTTTGTATGTCTATGTATGTGTGTGTCTGCATAGTCTGTAGGCAAAGTAACTGATGCCTAGCAGAGAAATCAGTGCCCTGGACAGTCAGTCCTGTCCCTTTTTTGTATCTGTATGTATCTGTGTGTCCATGTATTTGTGTCTATGTGTCTGTGTGTCTGAGCCCGTGTGCATTTGTATATGTGTCTCTATGTGTCCATGTGTCTCTGTGTGTATCTATGCATATGTCTGTATGTCTTTGCATGTCTATATGTGTCTCTGTAACTACATGTCTGTGTGTGTGTGCCTGAGTGTGTACCTGTGTGCATGTCTGTTGTGTCTGTGTGTGTATGTGTGTCTGTGTGTGTGTGTGTGCACATGCACATGGTGTGTTTCTCCTCTATCCTCAGCTCAAGTGTGGCCCTGGGAGATTCCTGGCAGTGTTTACTCAGTAAATAAAAGGAGCCCAGGGCTTGGGTGTGGCTCAGTGGCAGAGCACTTGCCTTGCACATGTGAGGCACTGGGTTCAATCCTCAGCACTACATAAAAATAAATAAACAAAATAAAGATACTGTGTCCATCTATAACTAAAAAATTAAAAATATATTTTTTAAAAAGGAGCCCAGGATCCTAGTGGTCAAAGCAAAGTGAACTGTGGACAAAGTAACTGATGCCCAGCAGAGAAATCAGTACCCTGGACAGTCAGTCCTGCCCCTTTTTTCCTCCCCACATTTCACTGGCAGGACCCTATAGAGAATGACTTTCCCCCACCCACCAGTGGTCAGTGAGGTCCACACTGAAGTCACAGGACTATGACCCAGCTGGTGTCACACAGTCACCTCAAAGTGTGTGTCTTTCTTTCCATAAAAACAAGATCAAAGAGGCCACATCATACAACCAAAATCCTACACTTGTTACAGGCAGCCTGGATGACCCTGAGACCTGGCCATGACCCACAACTTCTGCTGGATGCCATCTACAGCAGCAGTATGGAATTGTTTAAAGCCTATCCAAGCCTCAACGTATCCTTATGTCCAGGTATATGGCAGATCTCCAGACCCACTTCCTGCTGAAAACAACCAAAAGCCCTGGATAAAATATAAATAGTATACTCATAAAAATCATCAAAATGACGAGATGGGAAGAATTGTCAAGCCAAAGACTAGATGGAGTGGAACCCAGAGCCATGGGATTGTTTTTGCCCTGAATGTGTCTGCCCAATCTAGAAAATGGGACAGATGAAGCCCGAGATGGAGGTGTAATGGAAGGCCCCCAGTAACTGACATCCAGCAGGAAATGAGCTAGAAATAACTTCACCTTCAGCAACTTGGAGGAGTAGTACCTAGGCATGGGCAGAAAAGGGGGAACCCCCTCTGAGAAGACACAACACAGGCCAACCTTCTTGTGGATTCACAGCCCACATTCACATGACCTGGATCTACCCAGGGAAAACCCAACTTACACGTCGGCTTAAACTAATCATGGAGAGGATCCAGCAGAAGCAAATTCAGGCCCTTTCTAGAGGAAGGAACCATGACTGAAGTCCTCATGAAATCACAACCTGGGGCTGGGGATGTGGCTCAAGCGGTAGCGCGCTCGCCAGGCATGCGCGGGGTGCTGGGTTCGATCCTCAGCACCACATAAAAATAAAATAAAGATGTTGTGTTCACCGAAAACTAAAAAATAAATATTAAAAAATTCTCTCTCTCTCTCTCTCTCTCTCTCTCTCTCTCTCTCTCTCTCTCTCTTAAAAAAAAATCACAACCCACCTTCCAAGAAATACAGGCAGCTCACAACTAAGTATTGCCTCAATAGAAAGTGTCACCAGCAGGTGCAGCCTTCCCATATGTGGCATATATCAAACGGAGAACATTATTTAGGAAAACCTTTACATCTCAGAACAGTGAGCCTGTGATTTAAGCCACAACCTGCTCCCACCGATTCCCAGTTCCAGTTATAAAGGCTCTGCTCCAAGTGGGTACAAACATGGTGGAAGAGGATCCTCTCTATTCCAGCTCCAAGTCTAGGGCTACAGTTTCACCCTAAAAGGGGCAAATGCATATTCCCCTGAGCTCCATGTCATAGGAGGTCTCTTTATTATGGCAGATGAGGCCAGGATGACAGGTACTCCCTTCCTATCCAATGGAGGCTCTGCTCCAGGCATGGCAAGCCAATAATACTACCAGCTCACAGGTAGGGCACAGGGTCCTCAATGGGAGAAGCAAGCCAAGGAGACCAGGAACTACAATCCAGTACCTTCTCATAGAACAGAGATGTCACTCTGATAGAAACAGGTTACTGTCTCAACCCCAAGTTCAGTATGGTGGCACCAAGGTCTTGCCCAGAGGTTAAGGACAGATTATCTCCACATCTCTGGCAAAGAGGACTAACTATATTTGGAACAGAGCACCTGCATATGCCTAAGGTCATTGTCAAAAAAAACAAGGGAGTTTTAGTAATAAGGCATTAAGAGAGGCTGGTGGATCCACTATACAAAAACAACAAACAAAATGGTAGACCAAGTGGCAGTTTAACAGAAAGAACCAGGAAAGAACCCTCCTGGAACACCACTCATCCCCACAGGTCCTAAGAGGTGTGCACT